GGGGGGTTGGCATGTAGGTGGGCGCATTGAGGAACCTGGCCTTGGGGCAGCAGAGAGAGTGAATCCGGCCCTGAGTAGGATGTGCTAGAGATAACACTTCATCATAAGGGTGTTTAGTACCTGGCCAATCAGCAGGTCTGGGGAGCCTACTATGCATGCTGGGAGAGCTATTAAATATCTGAGACACTTCCTGGCACCGGGTCTTCTCTCCTGGGCTTCTGCCCTGAGAGGATGGATTTGTGACCATACGTCATCTCCTTAGGGCATAGGGATGTGAGAAGCTGTGGGGATCTCCCTTCTTGGGAGGTGTCCCTAAGATACTGGCTATCATGGAGTGCTACCAGGCCTTGAGGAAGAAAAGCTGCAGTTGTCCTCCACAGGCATGGTGAATGACTGAGCAGGGAAGCCCCACAGGAACCTTCCCATAGCTTTCCTTCCTTCATCTCTAAGACCAAGCATACACAGGAGCCTGAGTTCGACAAGAAGCGAAATATAATGTTTAAGGATCCAGCCAGTATAGGGACCCAGAAAGTTAGAGTTACATAGTTACATAGTATTTGGGGTTGAATAAAGACATATGTCCATCAAGTCCAACCCATATAGGTCCAATATAGGTCTGCGCAGATGACCAAGGACTGTGTTTGATGTAACTCTTCAGGTATCCTGTTCTCCCTTCATCCTCCTTCCCGCCTTATCTTCATGCATGTGCCATTAAAACACTTAAAATATACTCAAAGTGACTGGGGCCCATCATTCACACCATCCAATGACAAGAACGTCACCCTGCGCCTAGGACATTTATTGCCAAGTAAGTGGGTCCGGGACATTCGTAATGCCACTATTGAGTAACAGAGAAGCCCGTGCCAGGTGGTTACCCAATCATATTCACTCATTTCAAAAAGCACCAAGATGCTGCTACGCTCAGCCTGCCACTGGACCTGCCACATCAACACTGTATTCTTCAGTCCATTAAGATATACTGGGGGGAAATTATCGAGGGAGTTGCTCCACTTTTCTGTCCTATCTCTTTAAGTGACACATTGTCCACGTTATTTGCGCCTTATTTATCAATGCCGCCTAAGCCTTGATAATAAATCTCATTTTCTTTAGACACATAAGGGGGGAATTTATCATAGCGATGGCGAGTGTTTGAACTTGCCCGGAATATATTTGCACCGGATTTATGATGCGAGTGTAATGTTGTTGATAAATGAGGTTTAATAGATTCCAGGAAAGAAGATTCATCACTTCAGGCAAAAAGCTTAAAGGAGAACTATGAGGGGGGGTTCTAGCCGACCTGTGACAATGAGACTGTCACAGGTCGGCTCAGTAGATCGGGAGGTGAGAGAACACATACCGGCGTTCGCTCACTTCTCGATCCTATCACGGCTCTCTGCCGTGACAGGGGGAGGGGCTGGATTCCCCCTCCCCGCTCCGCCAGCGCTGACTGGCGGAACGGACGGGGGAGGGGGCGGGTACAGCTTCTGCCTCTAGATAGGCAGAGCCAGCTGTCACTCACGAAGCTGGGCGGATCCAGGCATAATTGTCGGGATCCGCTCCGGCTGCGGCGTCTCAGTATACCGCGAGCTGTAGCTCCCTATATACTGAGCTTAGGGTGACGGGAGGACGCTAGTTTGTGTCCTCCCGTTACCCTAAGGAGAACTATGGGGAAAAGCCCCGACCTCGTAGTTCTCCTTTAACAGTAGTGACATGTCCAGGTCTTAGTATTAAATATGTCAAGTATAACAATAGCCTATTATCGGATAGATCCAGAAGGTTACTGGTGAGTAACTCATGTCCATCTGTGACCAAGCTCGGCCAATCAGAAAGCAGGGCGTCGTGTCATTACACGGCGCCCGGCTTCCTGATTGGACGGCTCCGGCTGGGTACCGGACGAAGGCCGCATTCTCGCTGGAGAGGCCCCGGGGGTGGCAGGCTGCACATAATAAGGTAAGAGGGGACTTTCTTGTTAATCGGGAAGCCGGGAAATGATGATTGTTTTGGATTCATTTTGGGGGGATTTATCAAAACGGGAGCGAAAAAATCTGGAGCAGTTGTCTATGGCAACCAATCAGCTTCTCTCTTCAGTTTGTTCAGTTAAGCTTTGAAAATAAAAGGTGGATGCTGATTGGTCGCCGTGCACAGCTGCTCCAGATTTTGTCTGCTCCAGTTTTGATAAATTCCCTTCAATTTATTTTAAAGTGTACATGTTTACAGTGTATACCACATTTACCACTGACTAATGCAGAGTTGCAATGCAAGCAGATCAGCTAAAAGTAGTTGGATCTGTGTGTGCGTTATAATTAATCGAAATTAATCGATTAATCGATTTTTTTAAAAAAAATCGATTAATCGAACAGGAAATTTTAAATCAGTAACAGCCCTAATGCAAAACACCCAAAAGCAAACATGAATAAGCAACGTGACCCCAACTGAATATAACCCCCAACAACTATAACATATAACAGGAGCAAATAGCTAAATACAGGTAACAGCAACAGGACGACACGCAGGTATCAGGACTTAGGTCTACAAGCAGGTAATGGCAACAGGTCTACAAGCAGGTATCAGGACTTAGGTCTACAAGCAGGTATCAGGACTTAGGTCTACAAGCAGGTATCAGGACTTAGGTCTACAAGCAGGTATCAGGACTTAGGTCTACAAGCAGGTATCAGGACTTAGGTCTACAAGCAGGTATCAGGACTTAGGTCTACAAGCAGGTATCAGGACTTAGGTCTACAAGCAGGTATCAGGACTTAGGTCTACAAGCAGGTATCAGGACTTAGGTCTACAAGCAGGTATCAGGACTTAGGTCTACAAGCAGGTATCAGGACTTAGGTCTACAAGCAGGTATCAGGACTTAGGTCTACAAGCAGGTATCAGGACTTAGGTCTACAAGCAGGTATCAGGACTTAGGTCTACAAGCAGGTATCAGGACTTAGGTCTACAAGCAGGTATCAGGACTTAGGTCTACAAGCAGGTATCAGGACTTAGGTCTACAAGCAGGTATCAGGAACCTTTGGATGGAGTATGGAAGTGTTACAACGCCAGTCGGTTTGGCTTTTTTTTTATGTCTGTGCCTACGTTGGGGAGATCTTCATTCACTTCCTGTCTCCAGACACAGCTGGAGTGGAGAGAGGGAAAATCGATCCTTACTTCCTGTTTCTGGTCAGTGTCACATGACACAGGGCCCCTAGAGAAGTCTTGGGTAGACTCTATTGATGTACCCTGCACGGGCTGCACTGGCATAAAGTACCCACAGTCAGGGCCGGATTTCCCACAAGACCCAGCCTCGGGGCAGCAGGGAGTAGAGGGGCAGCATGGGTGTGTAATTCCTATCTCCCGATTCCCGGACAGGTAGATGTTTTCTACATTTAGCCCTGCTTTGGGCAAGCAGAGTTAAATGTACAACGTGAAAACCAGCTGCTTGTTTTGTACAAGTGATCTTGCTGACATTGTATGCAGCCTGCAGGTCTGCCATCCTCCATGGGGGGGTTGGCAGGTAGGTGGGCGCATTGAGGAACCTGGCCTTGGGGCAGCAGAGAGAGTGAATCCGGCCCTGAGTAGGATGTGCTAGAGATAACACTTCATCATAAGGGTGTTTAGTACCTGGCCAATCAGCAGGTCTGGGGAGCCTACTATGCATGCTGGGAGAGCTATTAAATATCTGAGACACTTCCTGGCACCGGGTCTTCTCTCCTGGGCTTCTGCCCTGAGAGGATGGATTTGTGACCATACGTCATCTCCTTAGGGCATAGGGATGTGAGAAGCTGTGGGGATCTCCCTTCTTGGGAGGTGTCCCTAAGATACTGGCTATCATGGAGTGCTACCAGGCCTTGAGGAAGAAAAGCTGCAGTTGTCCTCCACAGGCATGGTGAATGACTGAGCAGGGAAGCCCCACAGGAACCTTCCCATAGCTTTCCTTCCTTCATCTCTAAGACCAAGCATACACAGGAGCCTGAGTTCGACAAGAAGCGAAATATAATGTTTAAGGATCCAGCCAGTATAGGGACCCAGAAAGTTAGAGTTACATAGTTACATAGTATTTGGGGTTGAATAAAGACATATGTCCATCAAGTCCAACCCATATAGGTCCAATATAGGTCTGCGCAGATGACCAAGGACTGTGTTTGATGTAACTCTTCAGGTATCCTGTTCTCCCTTCATCCTCCTTCCCGCCTTATCTTCATGCATGTGCCATTAAAACACTTAAAATATACTCAAAGTGACTGGGGCCCATCATTCACACCATCCAATGACAAGAACGTCACCCTGCGCCTAGGACATTTATTGCCAAGTAAGTGGGTCCGGGACATTCGTAATGCCACTATTGAGTAACAGAGAAGCCCGTGCCAGGTGGTTACCCAATCATATTCACTCATTTCAAAAAGCACCAAGATGCTGCTACGCTCAGCCTGCCACTGGACCTGCCACATCAACACTGTATTCTTCAGTCCATTAAGATATACTGGGGGGAAATTATCGAGGGAGTTGCTCCACTTTTCTGTCCTATCTCTTTAAGTGACACATGGTCCACGTTATTTGCGCCTTATTTATCAATGCCGCCTAAGCCTTGATAATAAATCTCATTTTCTTTAGACACATAAGGGGGGAATTTATCATAGCGATGGCGAGTGTTTGAACTTGCCCGGAATATATTTGCACCGGATTTATGATGCGAGTGTAATGTTGTTGATAAATGAGGTTTAATAGATTCCAGGAAAGAAGATTCATCACTTCAGGCAAAAAGCTTAAAGGAGAACTATGAGGGGGGGTTCTAGCCGACCTGTGACAATGAGACTGTCACAGGTCGGCTCAGTAGATCGGGAGGTGAGAGAACACATACCGGCGTTCGCTCACTTCTCGATCCTATCACGGCTCTCTGCCGTGACAGGGGGAGGGGCTGGATTCCCCCTCCCCGCTCCGCCAGCGCTGACTGGCGGAACGGACGGGGGAGGGGGCGGGTACAGCTTCTGCCTCTAGATAGGCAGAGCCAGCTGTCACTCACGAAGCTGGGCGGATCCAGGCATAATTGTCGGGATCCGCTCCGGCTGCGGCGTCTCAGTATACCGCGAGCTGTAGCTCCCTATATACTGAGCTTAGGGTGACGGGAGGACGCTAGTTTGTGTCCTCCCGTTACCCTAAGGAGAACTATGGGGAAAAGCCCCGACCTCGTAGTTCTCCTTTAACAGTAGTGACATGTCCAGGTCTTAGTATTAAATATGTCAAGTATAACAATAGCCTATTATCGGATAGATCCAGAAGGTTACTGGTGAGTAACTCATGTCCATCTGTGACCAAGCTCGGCCAATCAGAAAGCAGGGCGTCGTGTCATTACACGGCGCCCGGCTTCCTGATTGGACGGCTCCGGCTGGGTACCGGACGAAGGCCGCATTCTCGCTGGAGAGGCCCCGGGGGTGGCAGGCTGCACATAATAAGGTAAGAGGGGACTTTCTTGTTAATCGGGAAGCCGGGAAATGATGATTGTTTTGGATTCATTTTGGGGGGATTTATCAAAACGGGAGCGAAAAAATCTGGAGCAGTTGTCTATGGCAACCAATCAGCTTCTCTCTTCAGTTTGTTCAGTTAAGCTTTGAAAATAAAAGGTGGATGCTGATTGGTCGCCGTGCACAGCTGCTCCAGATTTTGTCTGCTCCAGTTTTGATAAATTCCCTTCAATTTATTTTAAAGTGTACATGTTTACAGTGTATACCACATTTACCACTGACTAATGCAGAGTTGCAATGCAAGCAGATCAGCTAAAAGTAGTTGGATCTGTGTGTGCGTTATAATTAATCGAAATTAATCGATTAATCGATTTTTTTAAAAAAAATCGATTAATCGAACAGGAAATTTTAAATCAGTAACAGCCCTAATGCAAAACACCCAAAAGCAAACATGAATAAGCAACGTGACCCCAACTGAATATAACCCCCAACAACTATAACATATAACAGGAGCAAATAGCTAAATACAGGTAACAGCAACAGGACGACACGCAGGTATCAGGACTTAGGTCTACAAGCAGGTAATGGCAACAGGTCTACAAGCAGGTATCAGGACTTAGGTCTACAAGCAGGTATCAGGACTTAGGTCTACAAGCAGGTATCAGGACTTAGGTCTACAAGCAGGTATCAGGACTTAGGTCTACAAGCAGGTATCAGGACTTAGGTCTACAAGCAGGTATCAGGACCTGAGACTCAGGACACACGGGAAATAACAACAGGATACTGAGCCCTAGTCCTGACTGCAGGGGGGGGGGGGGGGGGCTAAACCCCCCCCCCAGGAAGCACCAGGTGATGAATAAGTGCCGGCAGCTGGAAGACACCCGCAGGTGAGCACTGGAGCTGCAGGACCTAGCTCCAGCGCCACCTGGAGGCGCTCTGGATCCTAACAAACATCTGTATGGGAATGAAGGGCCTTTTCAGTCTACATTTCTATCGAATCACAAAGATCGGGCTCACCGATATCACATGTGAAGGTGACAACAGCAGACTGGATCTCCAGAATTCTCTCCAGATAGAAGTCCTCTCCTTCCGTCTTTTGACTTATATTCTCCACCAGGAGGTTTAACATCTCAGGAGTGTAGCTGTCCTGGACCTTCTCGATCAGAACCAGAGAGGACTTGGGCTCCTGTGTCACCTCATTGTCTGGTGCGGCTGTAACAAAGAGAAGCATATTATTGGGGAAAGTTCTTTAGATTAATTATTTTAATCTAATGTACATCGTGATGAACATAATGACTAAAAGAACAAAAAAACTACATTCTGGGTGCTGTCAGCAGAGATTTTGTGTCTTCATTGGGTTGCCGAGTTCATCCACCAGGACAGCATGAGTGTCTTGGTGATCATAGAATGACTTACAGTAGGTCTATGGCTCCTCCATATTGAAGAGGGCCAGCTGAAAGGAAATGGGGGATTTATAAAGAGGTTTCCAGGAAGGATCCAGCGGGAGCTGATCAGACAATTCCTAGAAGAATATGTGGCCAGATCCAGAACACACTAAAGGGAATATATCTCCATCCCGGGACTGACCCAGAACACACTGGAGGGAATATATCTCCATCCCGGGACTGACCCGGAACACACTGGAGGGAATATATCTTCATCCCGGGACTGACCCAGAACACACTGAAGGGAATATATCTCCATCCCGGGACTGACCCAGAACACACTGGAGGGAATATATCTCCATCCCGGGACTGACCCGGAACACACTGGAGGGAATATATCTCCATCCCGGGACTGACCCAGAACACACTGGAGGGAACATATCTCCATCCCGGGACTGACCCGGAACACACTGGAGGGAATATATCTCCATCCCGGGGCTGACCCGGAACACACTGGAGGGAATATATCTCCATCCCGGGACTGACCCGGAACACACTGGAGGGAACATATCTCCATCCCGGGACTGACCCAGAACACACTGGAGGGAACATATCTCCATCCCGGGACTGACCCGGAACACACTGGAGGGAATATATCTCCATCCCGGGGCTGACCCGGAACACACTGGAGGGAATATATCTCCATCCCGGGACTGACCCGGAACACACTGGAGGGAACATATCTCCATCCCGGGTCTGACCCAGAACACACTGGAGGGAACATATCTCCATCCCGGGTCTGACCCAGAGGGACGGAGGGAATATATTGAATAGTTATCCTGAATCCCTCACACAAACACACCTGATACTATGTCTTCTGTATTTTCTATGTAAATCTCCCTCTTGACTGAGAGACTCAGAAGAAGCAAAACTAACAGCTTGATCTTCCCCAAATATCCCCAAATCTTATCCTCTCCCACCCGCTCCTACCATTGGGATCCAAGTGACAATATTACTCTGAACTTCCCACAATGGACGCCGCCCAATAAATGATTTCTTACTTTTGTCCTGAGCGCTCCCGTCCGCAGCAGGACCGGCCTGTGAAGCCTGAAAATGGAGGAAAAACCGATATGAATCATTTCTGGAAACTCTTCCTTATAAGAATTCTTATTGGTCACAAGAACAGTTATTTCAGCAACGACGACCAATGAGAACTGTAAATAAATACTTGTTACCATAAATATCAATTATCGGAGAGTGAATGGAATCTATTATTTTTGGTCAGCCCCCCCCCTCCCCCCAACACAGATGGCTTTAAAATCCATTTGTACCCAAACCATTTGCTGAAAAATCGTCCCGGCCTCCGGCGCTTCCAGGAGACACGGGTGACATCACTGAGGAGGACGCCCTGAACCCTGAGAGGATTCAATCCATCGGTGGGATTTGGGGCTCCCAGCTTTCAGTGGGTGGCTTAGTGACATCACTGGGTCTCCTGGAACCGTCAGAAGCCAGACCATTTTTTTTGTTTTTGAGGGAACAGTTTGGTGACAGTGTTACTCGTTGTGTGGCCCTTGGGCTCAACCCTCAGTAGTAGGATCGTAGATATATGAATGATCGGTCCTTTCCTATGTGTCCCCAGTCCCACTCAGGTCTCCATTCTCCATCCTCACCCCAGTGTCTGACCCTCTCCCGTAGTCTTCTGCAGCATTATATATGCCGGAGCTGGACAAATCCCGGAGCCGGCTGGACAATGCACCTTAAATCTTACAGCTGACCCCTAACGTCTGAGATTTACTCTCGTTCTTGTCAACGGAGCTCCTAAAATAAACTTGGTGGCTCTCGGATTGGACAGATCGGCTCCCGAATTCCATACTAACTTGTCCATCCCTGACATTTACTGAATATTATCTGAGGTGGCCCCTTGGTGATGACAGGGGCCACAGTTGATACCCTCCATACCTCCACTGATTTAACGTGTATGTAAGCCCTAACCATGAGATTCTCATTAGTAGAAAATGCATCACCTCCCCTCACCCACACTGCAAGAGTTACATGTTTGTGTTG